ATGCTTTGCTCTTTTCCACTGAAGAACCCACAGAACCCAAATGCCAGAAGGCTGCCCTGAAAGCAGGCCTTGTGTGCGGCACTCGGTCGAATGAAGGCTTGCTTGTCTGTCTCCTTCTGATGGCCAGGGTGGGTGGAATTTTCTGGAGAGTGGGCAGCCATGAGGTCCTCTTCATGTCACCCCTGAGAGTGGAGGGTAGGTAGATCATAAAGAAGGGCCATTATCAAGGCTGCCAAGAACCCATCCCCCTGGGGAGAAACACAGCCTCACAACTGTAGAGACCTGTGTGGACCCAGCACCCATGCAGGATGAACAGGCCACATGCCCCCTTGGTTGCTGGAAAGGCAGTTTGACCTCACTTCTCCTGCCTTAGCTCCTAATCATGAAACCCCGAAGCTTCTTGGCTGTTGTCGCTGGTCTCAGCACAGGTCTGACCTTGGTCATCCTGGGCCTTGTTCTGTCTCCTTTTCCCTTCTTTCCCCTGCAGAGTGGCCCAGCTTCACCTTTGGGTGTCCTGTGACTTTCTCCCTTTCTCTCCTGCATTCAGCTCTTTCCTGGCCCAGAAAGGCCCTTAATTACATTTCTAGCCTCTGCTTTTCTCTTAAGATACTGTCTTTGGTGTATGGCTTCTTGGTAGAAATTTCCACTGGGATATACCTCAGACCTGACCAGTTTGTGTAAAACCATTCCTCTTCCAGCCCTTCTCTTTCTACCATTTAAAAAAAAATTATTTATTATTTTTATTTTATGTGTATGAGTGCATTGCCTGCATGTATGTGAGTGCACCTGTGTCGTGCAATGCCATGGGGGGTCAGAAGAAGGCTTTGGATTCCCCTGGAACTGGAGTTAAGGATGATTCGTAGCTGCCATGTGGGTGCGGGGAATTGAACCCTGGTCCTCTGTAAGAGCAGTCAGTGCTCTTAACCACTGAGCCATCTCTCCAGCCCCTCTTTCTATCAATTTTTAAAAACACAGTTTCACTATGTGACCCAGGCTGGCCTTGAACTCATAATTTTCCTGCCTCAGCCTCATGAGTGCTGACTGTTATTCAAAGTACCAGACTCCCTCTTCTCCTTTGTTTAAGTCCCGTGAACCTTCTAAAACAACCCGTTATCTCTCTTTGTCCTATTCTGATTTCTGTCCTGGTAGTCAGTATAGTGTAGTAGAAAAAGCCTGAGGTTTGGGGAGGTAGACAGGGCTCAATTCCGGCAGTACTGCTTTTTACTTGTGTGACCCCAGTAGATTGCCAGGCTAAAGCTCCGAACTCACTGTCCACAAAATAGATGTATGTGAAAGAGTGGCCACCAGGCTGGCCCTCACTGAGCAGGTCTCTCAGTTTTAGTGCTGTGTACACTGTGGGCCAGGTACTTCTTGCTGCAGGGGTGTCCTGTGCACTGCAGGTTGTTTGGCTGCATCCATGGCTTGACCTGCTAGATGCAAATAGTATTGCACATCTACAGCCATGACAACCGAAACTGTCTCTGGATACTCCTGATGTTTTCTGGGAAGGCATGTGGCTCCTGGCTGAGAACCAATGGAACAGAGTGATGCTGAGATCTGGGTTGTGAATGACAAGCGTGGGCCCAAGTTCTAGAACTTTTGGGATGTCAGCTTCATGTGTGAGGGACTGTGTGGCTTCAGTCAGTCTCCATTTATGTCTGATGTCTCCGGGTGTGCTGCTGGCTTGCCTGATGAAGCAGTGCCTTTCATTTCATAGCCCAGCTCAACACACACTGCACGGCGCCTTGATTTTCACTTGCTGCAGAATCAGAGACATTTCAGAGGCAGCTGGGAGTCAGGGACTCTTACTGAACTCCTGTTGCTCAGGCCCTGAGCTTGAGGTAGAAAATGCAGATCTGAGAAGGTCATGCCTATAAACATTAGACCATCTTCTTTTCTCTTTTGAGTGCCTGGTATATGGACTGTTACTTATTTGGTTCTTATGAAAGAAAAGTTATTTTCACACTACAGATGAGACCATTAAGGTAAAAGGACACCATACCTAAGGGTTAGCAATGCCAGGAACTGAGATGAGAGGCCAGGTGACTCATGAGAAGCCTCTAGGATTCAGCCTCTAAGCTCCTCTGTACCTGTGGATAGAACCATGCTCCTATTACTCAGGGTTCCCAAGGACCCTTTCTTTTCTTTTCTTTTTTTTCTTTATTTTTATTTTATGTGTATGAGTGTTTTGCCTTCATGTTTGTAAGTGTACCATGTGTGTGCAATGCCCACAGAGGCCAGAAAGAGGGCATTGGATCCCCTGGAACAGGAGTTACAGATGGTTATTAGCTGCCATGTGGGTGCTGGGAACCAAACCTGAGTGTTCTGCAAGAGCAGCAAGTGCTCTTGACTGCTGAGCTGCCTAAGGCCTTCTTCTTGCTACCTACAAGTCTTCAGTATGGAGAGCAGAGCTGCGGGCCAAGCAGAAGGCTGGTAGGGCCAAGGGTTTCAGCGCTGGGTCTAGTTCGGTCAAGCCTCTGCAGTTGACTATAGAATTTATGTAGCATGTTATGACTCATTTCTTTCAGAGAAAGCAGTTCAGGCACTCTAGGCTTCTCTCTCACATGCAGATGAGAGAGAGACAGACAGACAGACAGACTGGTGCTGTCCCCACAGCGTAGTCCTCTGTAGTAGGGGACTGAGAAGAACACCAGAGGCCTGTGCAAGGTAGATGACTAAATTCGGGACATGGTATAGTTGGGAAGAGACCATTATACGCTGGGCATCCTATAGCATTCCACAACCTCACCTTTGCAGGAGGATCTGAGGACCCTCCTTGCCCCTTTCCCCATTTTATGGACTCTGTTTTTTGGTCAGGAGAGGTCAGGGTCCAAGAGCAGGTGGCTTTAGTGTGGTAGTGCAATGGGAGCTGCTACATCCTTCCTTCCATGCCCAGAGCTGCCCTTGCATGCTTGTTCTGGTCAAAGGCAAGATGTCATTCCAGCCACGGCCCATGCAGAAGCTCTTTGGTCCCCTATCAGGGACAGCAAGGGTGAGGATATCTCCCTATGTAGACTGTTGTTGTGAAAAGGAAGGGACATGTGGCTGCAGCTTGTTCTGCGAGCTGTGCTAAGAGCCTGCTACTTCAAAGACACCACTGTGGGCCCAGAGCCAAGCCTTAGCTTTGCAGCAGAGAAGTTAGAAACAGAATGAAAAGGCAGAGGTGAGCAGTTAAAGGTGGCTGTGTGTGCTCTGGTTTCCATGTTCCAGAGTGTTCTGAGGCACACCCACTGTGGGAAAGCTGCATTTGCCCATGAGAACACGGCAGGCTTCCTTAGTTCATGAATGCTAGAAGAGGTTGCCATGAAGGGACCTGTCAGCGCTTGATTCCCAGGACTGGAAAGTGTACGGACACTGCGTCTTTTCCACCACACCTGTCTTCATCTTGGGAAACGCTGTCTTCAGCGTTCCTCAGTTCTGGAGCTGGAAGTCTGAGATCAGAATGTCAGCATGGTTGGGTTCTGGCAAGGGGTGTAGGTTGTGACTCTCATTGTATCCTCATAGCAGAAAGACAGTGTTTTAGTGACTTTTCTCACTGCCGTGACAAAATACCGGACAAAAGCAACTTAGGAAAGAGTTCATTTTTGGCTCACAGTTTGAGGGTGTAGCTCATTAAGGTGGGGAAGTCACAGTGGCAGGAAGGTGAGGTGGCTGGTCACATGGCATCCACCGACAGGAAGCAGAGGGAGATGAATGTTGGTGCTCAGCTTACTTTCTTCTTTTTATTCAGTCTGGGACCCCAGCCCATTGATGGTGCTGCCTACAGTTAGGGTGGGTCTTTCTTCTTCAGGTAAATATTCCTAATGGATACATCCAGAGGTGTGTTTCCATGGTGACTGTAGATCCAGTCAAGTTGACAGTGAAGAATTACTATCACAAGACAGTGAGCTGGTTTTCTGTCCACTTCCTACAAGGGCACTAATCCATTCATGAGGGCTCCACCCCCCATGACCTATTCACCATCTAAAGTCTTCATCTCCAAATACTATCACATTGGGATTAGAGATTTGATGTGAATTTTGTGGGAACTCAAACATTTAGCCAGAAACAAAGGAGTATCCCTGAGTGGGGACTCAAACACAGGGGTCCAATGCTGGAGCTATACCATCGTATCCCAAGTACAGAGGAGAGCAAACCTCTGTCACTAATTTCAAAATTGAGGAAATGGACAGATAACATAATAGAATTCAGAAAATAGTCAGGACCCAGACGTGTGCTGGGAAAGTGAAGGTTAAGTGCCACAAAGGAGAGGGCAGGCTGAGGAACTGAGCTGGAACCAAAGCCAATCATTTTTGAAGGCAGTGGGAGATTACAGTGTGGTTTAATATCCCACGAATGGTATTTCCTGTCACATAGCTGAATAAAACACCACATATGTTTGTGATTGAATAGTATGGCTGTACAACATACGTGCTAATTCCCTTCTCTGCATGACCAAAGACGAGGGCAAGGCACACTCATTTTCCCTAAAGTCTTACCTTTCTTTTCTGTTTCGAACTTGTAGTTTCCTCTTTAAAGGGAAAGCATCTATGAGAATAATTACAGAAACACTATCACAGAAAACCTTTGAGAAAATTCTTCAAGATGTCTTCAAGGTTGGCTTTGTGTCCCCAATACCAACACCGGAACAGCGGCCAGGGTCACTGGGCTACAGCCTTTCCACAGCACAGACCCAGGGCTTTCCTGATGCAGTCTCACTCTGGAGGAGTCTGGCATGCTAGTCTGAGAATTCCTTATTTGGGAGAGCAGCCAATGAAAGCACACAGATACTGACATTAAGACATTCTTTCTCTGGTTTATGCAGCACTGTTAAAGAGCAGAAAGTCAGAGGCACAAAAGACCAAGTTCAGACTTTGGCAAAGGCCTGAGGCTGGAGGAGAACTCTGTCTGATTCTGACAGTGGGGTTGGTGCTGATGTTAGGAGGCCACCGAAGGCTGTTGGCGATGCATTCCTGAGGTCCCCAGGGATCTCCTCAGCACCGGTCCTCCCCCAACATCTGGTACTTACAGTGAAGCTAGATATTAGGGCTCATGTAGGAATGCATTCTACACAGATACGCAGTGACGTGGGGACAGAGTCTAGCGGCAAGTGACCTGGAATGCTACTTCACCAGCAAAGGCACACAATTGGAATTCAACAATCCGCAGGAGACGGTAGTACCTTTTATTAAATGGTTTCTGAACAAAAGCCAAGGAAAAGGAGGGCAGGATAGAGGAGTTGGGTCAAAGATCAACAGAATGGAGGAAGCTGGGGACGGTCGGGGTGGCGGGGGAGAGCTGTGTAGGCAGTAAGACAGAATTAGGACACCTAGTCAGTGCACCAAGATGGCTCTAAAGAGTAAGTCAAGAAGGGATAGTAGTGCAGGCTGAACTACGAAAGCCAGTCTCAGAAATGATGTAGACTGTCTGGGCTGTTATTCTTGAGCAATCTTGGGGAAAACTATCCCAAACTTTGCCTTCCCTACAGCCTGATGTCCAAGGGCAGGCATGTGCGGTAAGCTTGTGGAGAAACAGGCTCTTCCCAGGGTCAGAACAGCATTCCTCAGCTTTAGAGTTCTTGGCGCCAGGAAGTGATGGCTCTAACGTGCTGCTGTTGCTTAATGAAGTTATCAGATCTCTCTGGATCTCTGGTGTATTAGACTTTGGAATCAGACAGATCTAGACACAGCCTGGGCTTTGCCTCTTGCTGGCTTAACCTTTACCTTTCTGACCCTTATGGGGTTATAAGACTTAATTAAGATTATGCATATGCAGCAGTTAGCCACATACTGTTTGATAAATGTTTGGTTAATTGAACAGTATATTTCTACTTTCTTCCAAATTCTAGCTGAACTAGGGTGGGTAACATCAAGATTTACTTTGCAGGAAATGAAAAGACCATTCACAGTTATTTCATCAACAATGTACTGAGTTCCGTGTTTGTGCCTGGCATTTATAGATAACATGGAAATTGGCCCTACTGAGGATACATGATTCCTGCTTGAAAAACTCTTTACTTTGACTCTCAAAGAATACATGGTATTTTCCTCGGGCAGCTTGAAAGTTTTTATCCCCAAATAATTTTTGGTGAGATGATTTTTCTAGCAGTGTTTTCTTCATAAAGTTTGTTGCAATATTATCACAGTGATCTAAGGTATTGCTATTTTTATCTTTGTGTGTGTATTGTGTCTGTTTTATGAACAGTGTGTGTGTGTGTGTGTGTGTGTGTGTGTGTGTGTGTGTTCAGCTTTGTGAGTGTGGGTGCCATGGTGCAATGTGGAGGCCAGAGGACAACCTGACATGTCAGCCTTTGCCTTCTACCTTGCTTGAGGCAGGGATCCTTGGTGTTTGCCTCTGTGTACACCAGGCCAGGCTGGCTGGCTATTGAGCTCCCAGAGTTCCTCCTGTCTCTGCTTCCCATCTGGCTATGGATGTGCTGGGATTACAGACAGGTGCTCCTGTGCCTGGCTTTACATGGGCTCTGAGAGTTTGAGCTCAGGTTTTCATGCTTTAGCCTTCAGCCTACAGGGCAATCACTCCCTCAGCCCAGGTATTGCTATTTTTTTTTTTTTGGTCTTTTTGAGACAGGGTCTCCCTGTAGCCCCAGCTGTCCTGGAACTCACTATGTAGACCAGGCTGGCCTCAAACTCACAAAGCTCTGCCTGCCTCTGCCTCCCAAGTGCTGGGATTAAAGGTGTGTGCCACCAGGCCCGGTGGCTCACTTTAATCCCAGCCCTCCGGAGGCAGAAGCAGGAGGATCTCTGTGAGTTGGAGGCCAGCCTGGTCTACATAGGGAGTTCAGGCCAGCTGGGGCTACAGGGAGACCCTGTCTCAAAAAGATCAACCCCTGCCTCCCTCCAAAACAAAAACAAAAACTTTTTTTTGGTCAGTTCATGATTATTTTTGCAATACTCCTACAAGAGTTCAATTTCTTTCTTTCATTTTTTTTAAAGCAAACAGGAAGTTTTTTTAAAAAAATATTTTATTTATTATTATTTTCGTTTTTGAATGTATTACCTGCATGTAGGTAAGTGCACCTGTGTCGTGCAATGCCCTCAGAGGACAGAAGAGGTCATTGGATCCCCTGGAACTGGAGTTACAGACAGTTGTCAGCTGCCATGTGGGTGCTGGGATTTGCACCTGGGTCTTCTGCAAGAACAACCAGTGTTCTTAACCGCTGTGCCATCTCTCCAGCCCCAAGAGTTCAATTTCTAAGTGGGAGGAGGAGATGGGGCTCAGGGATGGTGTGAGAGTGGTACCTTTTGGCGTGTTTGCTGTGCCCTGCTTCCTTTGTGTCACTCACTGAAGAAGGTGGTGGGGACAGGAAGGAGCCAGGCTTCTGGGTCCCCAGCTCCATATGACCTTGATTCTAGACCTTGGGAAGATGCTCAGATGCTGCAGCTGTAAAGTTACAATGCGATGTTGAAGGTCAGGGCTCTGTCAGTGGTGGTATCTAGGGTCCTCTCAGGACACAAAAGCATGTGTAGTTCCAACCCAACCTAACCCAGCTGAGGTTAAAGGGGTTTTGCAGCCAGCAGACTTTTGCCTTCCAGTGTTCTCACGCAGTTGAGAAGGAAGAGTGCTTTCAAGCTCGACTGGGCTTCCCATCCCTCCCTAAGGCCCAGTGGGCTTCTGAGCCTGGCGCTTTGGGTTTGGGGGGTTGGAGGAAGGAAAGCATTAAATGGAACTGGTCCTAGTTGTTGACTTTGGGCCTTCTGCTTGGTGGGGGCTCTGGGACCAGAACCAAAAGGTGAGGTCATACAGACAGAGGGCCTAAGGAGGTTAAAGATGGGAAGGGGTGAACATGAGGGGTAGGGGTTTTGGGACTCGGGTTTGCTTTGCTCAGTGGGGGACCTGCTGGCTTCAGGGCAGAGAGACTTGATAGTCGACAGAGTCTTAGGCCCTGAGACTTGTGTCTTTTCAACAAGCTGTTTATTTCAGAGTTCAGATGGTTTTTATACATCTCAAGAAACTGGCAGTCACCCCTGGGATATGGCAGTCACATACAAAGATTTAGGGTACAAAGAAATAGGACAAATAGTCTGTTAGTTGGTGCCAGAAGGATGCTTAAACTTTTACTCAAAGTTATCAATGCCCATCTGGTTATTTATTGGCCACAATGTTTTCTTTCTTAGAGTTAGAAGCATGGTAACTTTAGATTTTAGCTCCAGTAAACCTTTAACCTGGCCTAATCTCTTAGCTAAGGATAGCTGAGTTATTTGTTCAAGACAAAGAGATGAGCTAAGGGTTGTTGACCAAGACACTTTCCCACAGAGCAGGGAGACTGCACTTATGAGCTGGCTGCTTTCTCCTGACAGTCTCACAGTGATCTGTAGGGCAGGGATTATCAGAGCCACTGTTTTCAGCACCCCTCCCTTTAGCAGACGATGCAGCCTGGACTTAAAGGTTTTAGGCTCATCTCACCCTAGGGCCTGACATCCTGGTTTCCTACATAGAGGAGGGGGAGCGCAGAGGGGAACAGATCCTTCTCCTCCAGTTCTAGGTCTGCAGGGGACAGGTCTGCAGGGGACTTCCGCCTTGCAGCCATATCTGGAGAGCTGGGCCTGAGTGCACTTTGCAGGATTTTGAGTTCCAGATTAAAGGTATTTTGTAAGGTGTGCTTTAAAAACAACGAAACAAAACAAAAGCCAAGAGAGGGCTATTTGCAAAGCAATAGCTCTGATTTCCTCATGTGGCTTATGGAAATCAATTCTTTGTCTCATAATAAGCAAAGCACAAAGAAAGCAACTCCAGTCTTTTGAATTCCCAAGCTACCAAGGGGAAATCATGTGTAGTTCCAACCTAACATGGCGCAACGTTAGTCATTGGATAGAAGCCAACTCAGCCCGGCAGTTTTTTTTTTCTCTCCGTCTTCTGTTTCTTTTAATATAATAAACTCTGCTAGAGTAAATATTTGCACAGGGTCTCACCCTCCGAAGGGGCTGTTGGGCTGGATTTCCCTGGAGTCGGGGAGGCTGGGTCGGGACCACCGCTGACTGCAGCCACTGGCTGCTCTCCTGGCTCCAAGCTGGTGCTTAAACAGGGATCAGCAGTGAGGTGGTTCCCGGGGGGGCGGGGGGGGGCAGGAGCCCTGCCTCTGCCCTCAGGAATGCGGGGGTGGGAGAGAAAGACCACAGCCTCCCATGCCGGAGCCCCCCACCCCTTTCTAGCTTTGCTTTGGCTCCTTTCCAAGCTTGAATGATATGTTGGTTGAGCCTTCATTATCCACACCGATAGGACTGGAGGGAGGAAACCCAGCTTTACCCAGGGGCTTTGTGCCACCGTTCTGTTTTCACTTCCCTGAGGCTCGTGGAGCTTTGCTTTCTGGAGGTTTAGAAGGATCGTTTAAAAATCCCAGCTCCTAGGGCTGAGGGGTGTAACTCAGTGGTGAGACACCTGCCTAGTGTATGTGAGGCCCTGGGTTCGAGTCCCAGGAGTAGGGCTGTCCCAGCACTAAGGTCCTGGCACTTACTAGGAACATAATTTCTGTTTTTGCAAAAAAATTCAATTGATTATCAGTTACCACAGAATTGTTGTAGAGTTGGAGAGGACCCCAAAAATCACTGTGGTACCATCCCGAATGTCTGCAGGACCTGAGCACACAGGTAGTGAGAGGCACCTCAGTGTCCGGAGCTCATTGCCTCTGGTATCATTAGGATAATTTCAAAACTTTGTGTCATATCAAGTGAGAAGATATACACCCAGAAGAGATGATCACAGAAAACTTACAAGCATTCACATCAGTATGATGCCCAACAAATAAAAAGCAAATAAACCAAACATCCTGAAGTTAATAAATGGATAAATAAAAGAGGGTATAGCCACACGGTGGAATATTATTGAGGTATGAAAAAGAATGAAGCATTGAACGTATGTGCTACAGTGTGGATGAACCTTGAAAACACAAAGCCAGATATAAAAGGTGATGTGCTGTGTGATCCCACTTATGCAAAGTGTTCAGACAAAGCAAATATGTAAAGATAGAAAGCTGATTAGTGGTTGTTGGGGGTCTAGCAGAAAGGGAGAATGGAAAATGACTACAGTAAGCACAGCTTTCATTTCGGGGGTTAGAGGAATGTTTTGGAATTGGTGGCAATGGTTACACAACTCGATATTCTATAAACGACTGAAGTGTGCACTGTTTGCAAAGAAGCTTTATGGAACATGAATTGTAG